CTAATAATATATATATATATATATATATATATATATATACACAGAAAAAGAGAGAGTATATTTTATTAACAAGACCTTAACTTCCTTATGGATACTATTATATTATTATTATTCTATTATATAAATATATTATACTTTGAATTCCTTATTAACTTATAAAAACAAACAATAATTGAAATACCATTCAGAAAATTCCACCGCTCTTCTGTTTAAACTATTAGAACTATATTTTTCTTGATAGAGGCTTTTCTCTCCTAAACTGTTTCTCAAAAATTCGAATTCGTTTAAAGGAAGTATGTTTGTGCAAAAAAACTGTTTTTCAAAACATTGCTTAAAATCTCTCCAGCACTATTTAATTATTAATGTGTAAATTGCAACATCGAACCATTTTAAATGCTTTTATAAAAATGTTTGAAAATGCCCGAAATATAATTTATTTGAATGTGTCCACATTTTAGATAAGTTCACACGTGTTCAGCTATTAAAACTTACGCATCTAATTATAGTTCTGTAATTTTATTCTATAAATATTCTATATTCTATAAACATTCTATATGCTATAAACATTCTATATTCTATAAACATTCTATATTCTATAAACATTCTATATTCTATAAACGCTCTATATTATATAAACATGATATGCTATGCTTATTTCATGTTTAAGTAAATTAACCAGGTTTAAAAGGACACTATACCACGGGAAAAAACTTTCATGGCAAACTTTCTTCTTTCTACATAAGCAAGATAAAATTTAAAGTTTTTTTTAAAAAAAAAATTAGTTCTTACTAACTTACAATAAGTAATAAAGTTATAAACGATGGCATTACTTTTTCTCGTTTTTTAAAAATATCAAATGCAAATAGATTAAGACAGGATTACTAAGAATTAAGAAAATAATTAGTTTACATTTTGATAGAAATAAAAAATGAATTAAATTTTATGACTGTTTCTTTTTTTTTTTTAAATGGTCCTGATTAATCAATAAACTGATATGCAATCTATCTAACGGAAATAAATGTAAGAAACGGCAAGGAAATTGAATTATAAAAAAATAATTATGACTATTTTTGCTGTTAGTATTTTTATAAATCTAAATATTTCTACAAAATTTTCATAAAATCTTAATTTTTTAACTAAATTCTATAATATGATTAATCAAAACATTAATTATATATTAAAATTCGATTTATCCAGCTCCAGCTTGATCCAAATTTGATTTTTTTCCCCTTCTGTTTAAAATACAAGAAGCGATATAAGAAATATTAGATGATATATAAAATTAATTACAACTGAAAAATATAATCAAAGTGTAACGAATATTATTTTTTTAGAAGATCCGCCTAATTTAGAACTTGTTAGATATGTTTAAGATAAGAATATGTTTAAATCTGAAATAGTTAGATGGCGCCATCATAATTTCAAAAGTCTTCTTATACAGAAGATAAAGAAGAGGTTGGATGAACTGTGTGCTTGCGAAATCACCGGATTCACTTTAGTCTGAAGTCACCAATACTGGAGCATGCGCAGTAAGATCTAATTTCCCAGACAGCAAAAGAAGTGGAATAATCCTGTCTCACCCTGATTTACTGTGAAATTCAGGGGCTTGTGTGTTTTAACAACGATACGAGTTTAACCCACAGTAATTAATTAGCAGGTAACTATTAGTTTAGTTTACTGTTTCTCTTTCTTATATGTTATAAAATCAAGGGCGGCGCCAGTAGGGGATCAGTGTGTGTGTGGGGGGGGAGGATTGCTTACCAGTTGAACATCGTTTGCCCCTGTATCAGAAAAAACTTAAAAATCGGGGGGAAATGTTACTGTCTTGCTCAGAAATGTAATTACATTTCTAAAAAAATTATTATTTTCTATTAGAAAGAATTGAAAACAAAAAGACGAGAATGTGTTCTTTTTACTAACACTTTACCAACTTTTTGTTGAGACATCTTTTTATCAGAAAATTCTGGGGATCAAGTCTCTTCTTTGTGTCCACATAACTTTAGTTTACAGTTATTTTTCCTCCCATATGTTATAAAATCAAGGGCAGCGCCAGTAGGGGACCAGGGGGGGGGCGATTGCCCACCTGTTGAACATCGTTTGTCCTTCTACCAGAAAGAACTTAAAAATTGGGGGGGGATGCTACTNTGCTAAGAAATATAATTATATTTCTAAAAAAAAAAATATTTTTTTTAATTGGAATGCGAGAATATGTTCCTTTTACTGACCCTTTACCAACTTTTGTTAAGACATTTTTTTATCAGAAAATTCTGGGCCATCAAGTCTTTTGTTTGTGTCCATATGGAACCCTGGAATTTATCAACCCTGAGGAACAGGGGGAGACAAGAAGACAGTCATAACTTCTACCCCACGTGACTTTTTGAGACCGACTAATCAGGGGAAAAAAATTTCTTCTTTTTTTAATATAATAAAAAAATTATGATTACCAAAATGGACATAGAAATCACGATTGTAATCTCTGCTCTAGTCAGAACAGTTCATCTTCCGGTAGAAAAAATTGAAAAAAAAAAAAAAAAACTGACAAAAATTAGAATTTGTTCTGCTATGCGGTTTAATTATTTATTATTATTATTTACTTAATAAATTTATTTATTTTATTTTTTTTTGCCTCATCATTATAGACACCGTTTTCATCAAAATTGAGAGATGGAGGAATGGTCGGACAGTACAGCAATTCCTTTGATAGGAATATAGTAGTTTACATTATATCGAAATTTATAATACTGCATTATAAACTTTTTATTGTTTTTTACTACTTAAGTAATAAATACTCTAGAGCTGTTATGGCTTATATGATAAGTGATTTGGCGCCCCTTTTCCATTCCTGAGACTTGGGTTCGAATCCCATGTTAAATAGTAAACTGCTCTCGGTTGGCACTGACAACACAACCATTGCAAGATACGAAATCTCTAGTTTTAGCATTGTCATGAGAGCGAGTAATCTTGCCTTCGAGCTAACTGTGGAATATTTTCATGTCTTTTTTTTTTTCGATTTTGATGCCCTCATTGAAAGTGAATTTGTCCTAAAACTTTACCAAGGAGTTCCCTTGTCAGTGGCGTAGCTACCTAGGAGCAAGGCGGGGCAGTGCCCCGGGGCCCTCAAGCTCAGGGGGCCCTCGAATCCTTACCAGAAATCGCAATCGAACTGAACTTTTGGAAATTTCTCCCATTTTCAAAATAAATATGACAGGTTTCAATCCCAATTTAATCATGACAACTCAGTTGAGAGAAATTTAAAAGTTATGCCTAGGGAATTCCCCAAAATTCTTTCTGTAGGTTGGCAGTGTTGTCAATTTGACGGATAGTGATATGTGCGTTTTATTGTGAATTCGAGTTAAGATTTTTTTTTCGAGAACGGTTAAAAAATTAATGCTGTAACAGGAGCAANCGGTGCAAAATTGTAAAACTGGGGCTTTAACGTTAAACGCAAAAAATCATCTGCATGAATTAATACCAGTGATAAAAAAATATATATCTTAAATCTAGCAATAGATAAATTTTTTTCAATCTTTTGTTATCATTTATTTACTTATTTTTGATAAATTGTAAATTTTATTTATTCATTTGGTAAGAATTTTGTATGAAATAAAAAAGAAAAAATATTTTCTCTCTCTCGAAGTTAATTTAGAATTAACTTATTTTTGTTTCGCAAACATAAATTTGCAAAGATTATTCACCTTCCCTTTCTTTTTCGTTAGCAAATTAAATATTAATACTTACTCTATTTAATGTTTTAAAACTTAAAAAAGCGCCTTAGAATTAAAAATATTAAATTTGAAAAAAAATTAACAAAAACAATTAATAAAAGATAATAATTTATGTATATATATATTCAGGTTAGGGTAAGGCAAAGTTTACCTTCATATTTTCAGTATAAAAATTAGATATATTCTTTTACACAACTTCACCCAAAATATTGCATGTGAGATTGGATTTTTCGCGGGGAAAAAATTTTAATTCTTGAAACAGTGGAAGAACTAATAACCCTTAAGAAATAGAAAAAAAAGTAGACCAAACTTAAAATAGACAAAAAGAACTAAATTACATTCTTCTCCTTCTTAGGCACTACAACCGGTTACCGGCCAAGACCGTCTCAGTCAGTTTACCCATCTAGATTTTTTTCGGGACTATATTTCTCCATCTATTAACTCCCGAGTCTTTTACTCCACTCTATCTAACCATCTTGTTCTACGTATCCCTCTTTTTCTTTTCCCTCTGCTGCTTGGAAGGATATTTTTTAGCAGGATTTTCATCGCTATATCGTATAGCTATATACATGTCCTAGCCACCTTATTTGATAGACCTTGATTTTTTTTACTATGTAAGGTTCTTTGAGTTTTGATTGTAATTCATGATTGTAACCAATTCACCAGGCCCTGTTTTGAACTGGAATACATATAAAATAAAATTTTCCAAAATTTGTCAGAATAGCTTCACTTAAATTTTACAACAGGATTTTTATTTAAAACATAATCAAATACTTTACTTTTTTTTAATTTAATTCAGTTTTACATTAAACTTATTTCTGATAAAATTTACTAAAGCTGAAACTTATTTTTGGTTTAGATTTAGAATGTTACTAAATTTAAAATCCTTTAATTCCTTCAGAGATGTTTTCACGTTTTTTTATTTATTTATTTATTTATTTATTTTTGCATTTTGTATTATTTTTAGAATCTGTTTGAAATAATAAATATTATAATAACATGGCGTTTAAATCCTCTAGAAAGGGTGACACCAGAACCATCGCTATTATTTCTCTTTTTGCAAGTTAAACTTTCTTTTAATTATGATCCTCATACTCGTAGAAATGTTTTCGAATTCCAAGCATTAAGTAAGTATCCTTTCGATTTGTGCTCAAATACATTTAACTTTTTAGAATAATACATTTAACATAAAGCATTCATTTTTATAGCTTTTTTTCAAAAAAATATTTAAAAAAAATATTCATAACTGCAAAAGATCATAATATAAATTGTTCGCTACAGTTTTTTATAAAAGTACAAATTTATTAGGTGATATAAAATTTCTATTAAAATGTGACATTTAAAATTTCCATCAATAAATTTTTAGATCAGTACTTGAAATAAATTTCCAAAGTAATATTTAAAATAAATTTTTAATATAGTATTAGAAATACAATTGCAAAATAGAATTGAAAATAAATTTGCAAAGTAGAATTTGAAATAAATTTTTTAAATACTAGTATTAGAAATAAATTTTTGAAATAGTTTTTAAAATGAATTTTTAAAATAGCATTTGAAATAAATTTGTATAATGCTTTTTGTAATAATTTTTTGAAATAGTATTTGAAGTAAATTTGTGAAATAGTAATTATAAATAAATAAAATTTGTGATATAGTATTTGAAATACATTTGTAAAATGGTATTTGAAATAAATTTTGTGAACTAGTATTTTTAGTAAATTTATTATATAATATTAAAAACTTACAATTTTAGTATTCAAAATATATTACTTCAATTCAAATCTCTTTTTTTATTCAACACTATTTAATTTTATGCTTTACAGAATATCAAAGCATTGTGGAGATCAAGGAGGCATGTTAAGAAAACGTTTGAGTTTATATATATTAAAATCCATGTTTTAAGTTCAAAACCCTTTTTCATGGCCCTTTTTAACCAAGATTACTATAATGAAATTGTCTGCATTTCAACCAAAAGACCTAATTCACTTTGTTTGAAATTATCTCTTGCACACGACTTTTTTTTTCCCGAGTGTAACATACCTCCTTTCACCACATATATGTACTCCTTCAACTACGATTCAAAAATAACATAAGGAGTGGCTCAAAAATCTGCACTCCATAAGATTTGCGAATGATTCTAAGTAAACTGGGTCTTCAGTAAAAATAGTGCATATTATTTACACTATCAAGTGTTAGTCGTTAGTGTTAAACATAATTTAAAAAAAGGAAAATTTTAGGTTTATACCCCTAATTAAACAAGAGTAACAATTGTTACAATTTTTACTATATTTTTTAACTTTTTTAACATTTTTCTCATGAGATAACTTCTTCGTTAGTGTTAAACAAAATTTTAAAAAAAGGAAAATTTTAGGTTTATAATACCCCTAATTAAACAAGAGTAACAACTGTTACAATTTTTACTACATTTTTTTACTTTTTTAACACTCTTCTCATGAGGTAACTTCTTCGTTAGTGTTAAACATAATTTTAAAAAAAGGAAAATTTTAGGTTTATAATACCCCTAATTAAGCAAGAGTAACAATTGTTACAATTTTTACTATATTTTTTAACTTTTTTAACATTCTTCTCATGAGGTAACTTCTTCGTTAGTGCTAAACATAACTTAAAAAAAGGAAAATTTTAGATTTATAATACCCCTAATTAAACAAGAGTAACAATTGTTACAATTTTTACCATATTTTTTAACTTTTTTAACATTCTTCTCATGAGATAACTTCTTCGTTAGTGTTAAACAAAATTTAAAAAAAGGAAAATTTTAGGTTTATAATACCCCTAATTAAGCAAAAGTAACAATTGTTACAATTTTTACTATATTTTTTAACTTTTTTAACATTCTTCTCATGAGATAACTTCTTCTGCCGATGATTTTGTTCTTTTTTTTTATTATTAGTTGAAACCAGCTTACGCATGATTGCAATTTTTGCATTTTATATGTGAAATTTCAAAGTTAAATGACATGCATGAAATACTCCCTAGTCCAAAGAATTAAAGTTAAATAGTTGCAAAGCCGATTATTTCTTTAAAAAAAAATAACTTTTTTTTTAATGGCGGACCACAAATCCGTTTATAAGGCGGGTCACATTCACACAATCATACACACAAAGGAGAAAGGACATAGAATACATAGAGAGAGAGAGAGAGAGAGAAAGAAGCATCCATGCCCTGAGCAGGATTTGAAACCGCGACCANACTTCCTCATTACGAAATATTAGAAGAAATTTTTACACATAATTTCATACCCACATTTCATACAAAGCGTGTGATAAAACTATTATTATAGGCTATTTAAGTAGAAAAATTCCCGATGTTAGAAAAAGAACAATTTTCGAAATGATGATTCTAAAAATAGCATGATTTTCGAATCTTTTTACAATTTTCTATTTAAGTAGCCATTAAGGAAAATGAGACATGTCGAGCATTTTCCTGACATAGCAATATTTTTTTTTAATTCTGCTAAAGTTGAGAAATAATATCAGCAACTTTTCAAGCAAATTTTTGCAACATTATCCTTTTTAAGAAAGCAACTTTCTTAAAGCTTGCGGGCAAGACTAACTTTGAACGTCAAAATAAAATTGTTTGCCCATAATTTTTTGTTCATTTAAAAAACAAAGCAAACTGTTGTATTTTTTGCTGTGCACACGTACGCATTTATTTTTGACTGTCAAATAAATAAGAAACAATGAAAAAGACAATAATTAATCTTCATTTTTCGAAAGAAAAAAAATAGTAGTGTGGCGTAATTACTACTACGATTATTAAACATCAATTCACTAGTATATAAGACATGCTAACTTGATTCAATCTTGAAGTACTTTTTGATAGATGAAGGTTGGCATTGTCTAAACATCTTTCCCCACAGTAGTAAATAATCAGCTGTTTTGCATCTAACAATTTTGATCAGCAGATTATTTTTAATTTCCTAACAAGGTTTTATTCTCAGCTAGCTGACAATAATTCTAAGTTTCCTTTCAATAAAACTTGAAAAAAAGAAATTTTACTTTAGAGGAAAACATAAATTAAGGTACTAAAACAATTAAGGGAAGAAGGAAAGAATGTCTAAGGAAAGAATGTCTAAGCTAAGGGAAGAATGTCTTGGCATAGGCTTGTTGAGAAGGCCAAGGCCCATCCTGGGCTGTCGTGCCAATGAGAAGAAGAAGAAGAAAACAATTGAATTGTATATTAACGAGAAAATAATATACATGGTAGCGTAAAGAATAAGATTTTGAGAAATTTTAAAATTTAATTGAATAATTGATAGTAAAATAATTATAAATACGTGTGCAATACATGTTAAATACACGTGCGGACATGTAATTAACAAATTTATTTTAAGATTAAAACCATATGTAAGTTGGTGAGAAATTTTAAGATGCTTAGAAATGTTGACTATTTATTCGTATTAGTAATTATAAAATATATATTGAAGAAACTGATAAGCATATTCCAAATCTATGCATACGTTTGTATATTATTTAAATTGTATCAATTACTGAAATAACATTCTCAAAAATAAATTAAAAAAAACACCTGATGTATAATCACATTCTATTAAAAACATGCTATTATTAAACTCAACATTCGTTGAATAAAATGTTTCATTCAAATCTCTTTAATTCAAATCTTATTCAAATCTTCAATTACGAATAAATTTTTAGACGACTAAAAAAGGAACATCGTATTTTATAATTTAAAAAAAGGATTAGGAATCGGTTACGAGCGAAGAAAAATATGAATGAAATTATACTCTACGCTTGCTAAGTCAAGCTCCTTTTAAATTAACCACATTTGAATGTTATTCGCCCCATTTAAATATTTCTTCATTGTCGCCAAATTATTTTGTTAAAAATAATTCATTTTAATTTTTTTCAGCTTCAAACAAATAAAGTCGGTTAAAACTTTAAATTTTGCAATAGAAAAATAAGTTGATTAACGCAGTTTTAAGAAAAATTATACTTCATGATTCAAAATGTTTTCACCCACAATTAAATTAAAGAAAATTATTAATTGAATTAAATTAAGGAATAAATAATAATTAAAATTATTTTTGCATGAAATTATCTGTTTAAATATTTCTTCATTGTTGCCAAATTATTTTGTTAAAAATAATTCATTTTAATTTTTTTCAGCTTCAAACAAATAAAGTCGGTTAAAACTTTAAATTTTGTAATAGAAAAATACGTAGATTAACGCAGTTTTAAAACAAATTTTACTTCATGATTCAAAATGTTTTCACCCACAATTAAATTAAAGAAAATCATTAATTAAATTAAATTAAAGAATAAATAATAATTAAAAATTATTTCTGCATGAAATTATCTTTGGGTAAATGGGTTTTATAAGTAGGTGCAATTTTTTTTAAAATTTTTTAATTAATTATAAAAATATGACTAAAAACGCTAAAAGTGAAATTGACATTAAGGGGTCGGAACTTTGGTTAGCTCTCCTGAGCATGGGGATCATATTTCTTAGATTGCGGCTACCACCTATGTTTTAAAGGTTAAGAATTCAAATATGTGAAAGAAAAAAAATGTAGTTATTCAGAGAAAGTACGTTTGTATGTCTGATTTTGTAACTTATAAGAGTTAGCATTAAATAATTAGCATATTTGAGTTCCCCCTTAGGAACCATTAAGATTGACACTTAGTACGTGAAAATCCGATCATAAGAACGAAAGTTATTCAGGGCGATATTCCTTGTTTGCCCTCTGTATATCTGCTCTTATTATTCGAATCTAATGGATTTTGTTTAAGGATCAAAACATTAAAAAAGAATTTTACAATATGCTAAAACTTTTCTTTATATTTAAAAAAATTGCTTAAACTATGTGTAAAGATCACATTTCCTGCTCCAAGATGATTACGTCCAAACGCTGTTTGATTCTAACTGTACATTTTTAGCAAACTTAATTTTAAACACTATCCTGATATTTCCACTAAAGCAACTTCAGTAACTAAACTGCAAAGTATAAATTTTCAGTTTTTCCTTTTTTAAATCTGCAAAATTTTCAATGAATTTTACAAGTTTTTGAACGGGGGGCAGGATGAGAAAACTTCCTATGAGCTTTTTACAGAGCTGATTGTATTCTGGGTGCACCCCGGACCTAATT